ATATATATATATATGCATATATTAGAACCCACATGATGATGCAGGGATCTTAGAAATTTTCAGAAAGCAATTAGAAATTAAAACTATGTAAAATCAATGAGCAATTGTAATTTAATTGTTATAGTTTGAATCCCATTTGCATCAAATTTGAACAAAACCCTCAACACTAACAAGCTAACTGACTTACGACGTGAGCGCGGAATCTTCTGTGACAGAAAAGCACATATCCCGTGTGTTTGCCTGGACCGAACCGGTCCAAGTTTTCTTCTTTTATGAGGGGTCTGTCGATCCTATTGGGTCAGTCCTAGTTATCCTATTGTTATTTATATTTGCTTTTTGTAATGTTTTAGGGCTAGGTTTTTACGTGAGTTTGTTTGAGGCGGCCAATGGGGGCTTCTTTTCCCGTCTAGGGTTGTATCCAAGGGTTAGAGTGGTGCTCTAGCTGTATCTCGCTCCCTTTGAGATGGTGATTATCTTCCCTATCCCTTTCCTCATCCTCCCCAAGTTGCTTTCAGCCACCCTCCATTGTCGCACTTGCTCCTGAATAATAGCCTGTTACTGTTTTGACTGCAGTATTCCAATTTCAGCCACTTGTCCTCGGTGCCTCCTCACTGGACAATTGTCCTTTTGTTGTCCTGCAGTCCCCCTGCATCCCCTGTCGCTGTTGCCATCATTTCCCCTCATTGCTTCCACTCAGAACATCCGCCATCCGTTGTTTCCCTCGCTTTCCAACCTTCATTCCTGATCCAGCCCAGCCCACCCCAGCCCACCCCAGCCAATATCCACCATTTTTCTCGCTGTCCAGCCTTGGTTCTCGCTGCCTCCGCTCGGGTCAACAACCAACTTATTGTTTCTGCAGCTTCACACCTCCCTTTGCTGTTGCCAACACCCCTTTGTTGTTGCCACACTTTTCAGCCCATCAACCGCCATTTGATACCTCTCTAGAGGTTCAAACTTCGCCGATCACAATCACCACCCTGAGATTCAGCCTAGTTTAAGTTTGTGTTGTCATTTGTTGCAATTTCTGATTTCCAGTGTCTTCGATAGTAAGTTCTTATTTGAATTCATCAATAATACTTCAACTGCAAAAATAGATTCTCTCTTTCGAGATGAGATACTCCAGAAGGGTCACTCATAGATTCGTCAGATCCAAAGGATGAAGGACCACAACCCCATATATTTGATATGGAATATCAGTGAAGTCAGGATCTGTAAGTAAAGGTGAATTACCATATTTTGATGGTCACAGGACCCTGGAAGAATCCACCGAGCTGCTCCAGACAGTAAGGGGGTCTTTGAATATGAGGATATTTCACTGGACAGTATGGTAAAACTACTCGTCATCAAAAGCTAAATGTGTTACAGTGGTGGAAAATTTGAAGCACCTACGTCAGTGGGAAGGAAAAAATAAAATCACTACCTGGTCGAAAAATGAAATGAGATGCAACGGCAGTACCTACCAGTTCATTACATATAGGATGTTCAGACCCACTACATCTTGCAAATCGAGTTCAACCCCAAGATGAAGCAGTAAGTTTACACACAATGGAACATCCAAGCTGTTTACGCCTAAAGAGAAATTAATTCAGAGTGAAGAACAGGTGGATCCGCCCAACATTCCAAAATCCATCCCAGTCAGAAAGTGCATCAAGTGCCATGGTTTTTGGGCACAATGCATCAGATTGCCCAAACAAGAATATGATTTATTTCACTGAGTAGACAGTAATTGAAGAAATGGATAACAACATAGTAGACACTGAAGCAAATGAAGACACGAAGGAGTACTAACTACCAATTGATGAGGTAAAGACGCATGCTATTCAAGCTAAGCCCATGAGAGATACCTCAGCGGGATTAACAGTAGTTGCTCTGAAGGGAGTGAGTCCGAGGTAATGGGCGTTCATGCAGAGTATGAGGGTGTGGTGCAACAAATTACTTTTTTGCAGACATTGAGAGGAGCATCAGTAAGATGGGCATGTCTGAAAGGTTCATGAGCTTGAAGAGCCGATACCAAACATAGGGAACCCCATAAAAGAAAATTCCATAATTTTTCAGATATATAACCTACCTCCTTATTTGCCCCTATTGAGGGAGGTTCAACATATCAGAAATGTGAAGCTTTTGAGTTGCTTCTAAAAGACTGTACGAAGTCATTTGGGTTTTAAATTTTTTTCAACTGTGTGCCATCGACAGATAGTCAGATAGGAGGGGTGAACCATAACATTGGAAATTGTCTTAGGATCTATGGGGGAAGGAAATCCTAAAATGGAATCCAAATCCTTCTAGAGAATAAGAAAGGCCTCTCCTAATTTGGTCTTATTGAGAGTTGCGCAACTTAACACAAATTTCAATCCAGAGTTAGTTCTTCCAGGTGAATTTGTTTATCATATGTGCCCTATCGATTACGAGTGGAAGAGAATTTATTGGCTTGAGAGTTACTTTGTGAGAATCTATATTTATATGCAGCTTCAGCTCATGTTGTGTCAAAAAAGGGTAGATACTTAGTCTATTATGATGTGTTTTGGAATAACAATGCCTATTTATCGGAAGATTATGCCATTTTCGCTATCTTTAACATGGTCGACTTGACGTCATGCTATGACTTGCCCCTATTGAGGGAGGTCCAACATATCATAAATATGAAGCTTTTGAGTTGCTTCTAAAAGACTATACGAAGTCATTTGGGTTTTAAATTTTTTTCAACTGTGTGCCATCGACAGATAGTCAGATAGGAGGGGTGAACCATAACATTGGAAATTGTCTTAGGATCTATGGGGGAAGGAAATCCTAAAATGGAATCCAAATCCTTCTAGAGAATAAGAAAGGCCTCTCCTAATTTGGTCTTATTGAGAGTTGCGCAACTTAACACAAATTTCAATCCAGAGTTAGTTCTTCCAGGTGAATTTGTTTATCATATGTGCCCTATCGATTACGAGTGGAAGAGAATTTATTGGCTTGAGAGTTACTTTGTGAGAATCTATATTTATATGCAGCTTCAGCTCATGTTGTGTCAAAAAAGGGTAGATACTTATTCTATTATGATGTGTTTTGGAATAACAACGCCTGCAAGACTGGTTTATCGGAAGGTTATGCCATTTTCGCTATCTTAAACATGGTCGACTTGACGTCATACTATGAGGGGAGAGAAGCTTCGATGGATGAGGTCGAAGCTCTTCCAATCCCAGGAGATTGATGCAGGTGTCTCTTGCTTACGGAGCGAGTGCGAAACTTTTTTGTGATGGAAAAAAGCATGCATCCTATGTGTTTATCTAGATTGAACCAGTCCAGATTTTCTCCTTTCTAAGGAGTCGGTGGGCCTTAGTTATCCTATTATTATACATTCGCTTTCTAGATATTTTAGGGTTAGGCTTTTTCATGAGTTTGTTTGAGACAGTTTCAGCATCTTCGTTTCTTGTCTAATGTTTTATCCAAGGGTTAGAGCGGTGCTCCTGTTGTATCTCACTTCTGTGTAGTGATTATCTTCTCTATCCTCTTCCACATCCTCCCCACGCCACTCCCGACCACTTTCCATTGCTAGAACCACCCTTGAATAGCAGCCTGTTGTTTTTTTCACTACAGTTTTCCGATTCTAGCTACATATCCTCGCTGCCGCTGTCCTAACAGTCATCCTCTTGCTTTCTTGCAGTCCCCGACATCCCCGTTGCGGTTGCCGACCAAAACAGCCGCTATCCGCTATTTCCCTAACTGTCCAGCTTTCGTTCTTACTGCCACTGCCCCGGACAGTAGTCCTCTTGCTGTCCTTCAGTCGCCCACATCTGCCGTCTTTGTTGCCGGTCATCCCCCCTCGCTGCCGCCGCTCTGGACAGTCGCTATCCACTGTTTCCCTCGCTGTCCAGCCTTCGTTCTCACTGCCACTTCCCAAGAGAGCAACCAAATTTATTGTTCCTGCTGTTTCACATCTTTCCCTCATTGCTACCAACGACTCTTTGCTGCCGCCACACTTTCCAACTCATCAACCGCT